ACACTTTATTAATACTAATAAAATCATAATCTGTTTAGCTAATTAAAGAAGTGCAAACTCATAATTCGTATATTTGTGGCTTATTTATATACCAAATGAATTAAAAATAAATTCTACGATTGTGAAAATAAAATTCTTACGATTTTTTTTTAGTAGTTTAAAGAATAGTGATTATATATTTATTTATATTATTTGTTATATTATTGAAAATATTATTCTGAATGCTTGTAGCTAAATCAGTTTTATTTATACTATTTTTTTCTTAGTTTTTTGTATAATATGATTTTAAATTTAAAATTAAGGTGCAGGGTAAACCACCACACCTGTCTGTAAAACAGATTATGAGCTAACTTATTCTTTATAATGTCTTCTCTAATTACTTCATAATGTCAAATCGTTCTATTGGAGCTGAAAACAATTGTACATATACAGAATAACTCTCGAAAAACTATCGCGTTATATATTTGCATGTTGCAGAACAGTATAAAATAAATATGCATATAATTCAATAAAAATATTTTATAACAAAGTGAAAAAATTGTAGAATATTTTATATACATTCGCTTGTAGGTACTCTATGCAGATAATTTCGACGAAAGAAAAAAAATAGGAATACAAAACACTACTGCCTACTGTGTCAGTTTTGGAGCTCATTTTATCAGATGCTTATTTTTGCTTACTTTATGAAAGATTAATTATTGCTAAATTAATCAAGATTATAAAAATTGCTTATACTATTTGATGAGAGATACTTTTTAGTTTGTATTTATGTTTTAAAAGTTTGATTATTAACCTTTTGTTTAAGAAGTATTGTGTCTAAAAACAAAGTGGTATGTCGGTATCAGTGACTTTTTTCTAATTACTTTAGAGAATATATATAATTACTAAAATTATTATTAAACTGCATGTGGTCACGTAGCAATTATTTTTTTAAAGTAATGATTATTTTTTTACTCTTTTAATTTAGATTTTTATTTATTTGTTACAGAATTATCGTAACAACGTTGCAGATATAACTCCACTGTTGCGCATCGGGTCGGTGAGTGATAAATCAATATTTTAATTGCGGTAAACGGATATATGATAATTTTATTAGTATATTATGTACATACTTGAATACATGTATGCATAGATTTAATAACAATATACAGACAAATATATGTATAGCATTGCATATATCCGTTTCCTTAAAATGAACAAGGTAAAATTAATTAAAATAAATTTAGTTGTGTATGCCTGATTCTCTGGCGAATTTTATAGGTCTATCGAATTTCTAAAGATTAGCGTTAAAAAATTGAGAAATTTTAGAAAACTTAATTTGAAGGAAAAATTAAGCAGGATAAAAAATAGGGCAAAGTGTGAATTTATAACAAGAGCATGATTTCTTTATTCTTTATAATTATAAACTTACAATTATAAAGAATAAACATATTACTTAGAGCCTACATATAATAAACCTAAATAATTGATCGTATATACATAATTATACAAAGAGTTGATCCTCAGAGAAAAAAATCTCGTCGGTGTGTCCTTTCTACACATCTCTCCTTCTCTCTTTTTTATTAATTATATACATGAATTACGCCTTTAGCAGGCAGTTATGTAAATAACGATAAATTCTTCGGTTTTCTATACATGCTTAAGAACGGCGGAAATGTGCGAAAAATCGGCAGTTTTCTGCATACGATTCTCAATATTGAGAAAGATAAAGCTACGGCGATGGAATTACGAGCTATCGCACAGACACTTCGTCGATAGTAATTCCGTATATATTGGAAACTGGTTCGGTCTCGTAATGTCCGAATCTGCCTTACATTCTTTTTGAATGGCTGCCGTATTTGTTACGAATACATACTAATTTATATAACATGATATTTATATATCAATCCTATTTATCTCTTATTTTATTTTTTTAATTCTATTTATTTAATAATTAGAAAATAAATTTCGCGCACATAAAAGAATGTTACGGTTGCCACAACTGGAAGTAATGATAATTTTTGTCCATCAATACACCTGTTTGTGATAATCATAAGATAGACGTATTCTTCTTTACAGCCATAACCGTTAAGGTATGCCAATCTTACAATTATCACAATCATACTACTATTCTTATAACCAAAACATATATTGATGGACGACTTTTGGTCATGGAAACCGTAGCCGTGTTTTTTCGTATGAATACATTATACACCTTAATAAATTTTCGATTCGCTATCTATAGTATATTTTAAAGTAGTTTCAAATAATTAATTCTTTGTGGACCGATGATTCCGTTTGGAGTCACTCTTTTATTTCATAAATTGCTTGTTGAATTTTTATGAAGTTTTGGCCTATAGGATAATTTGATAAAACTTTATTCGAATTAAGGTAAAAATTTTCAAAATTTGAAATAATAGATTTCATATGACGAACGGAATTTCAAAAAAGTAATTTGATTATTATAAAAGTCGATTTTAGGAAATTTATTATTTTGAAGTTTCCAATTTCGCTTTGAATAAGTACTGATACTTAGAATAACTCTTGGAAAACTATCGCGTTATATATTTGCATCTTGCAGAACAGCATAAAGTAAATATGCATATATTTCAATAAAAATATTTTATAACGAAGTAAAAAGATTTTACTATATCTTATATACATTTACTTTTAGATACTCTATTCAGATAATTCCTATAAGAGAAAAAAAATAGGAATACATAGCACTACTACCTACTGTGTCAGTTTTAGAGTCCATTTTATCAGACGCTTATTTTTGCTTATCTTATGAAAAAATTATGTATTGCTAAATAGTTTGCTAAATTGCAAACAATATTATAAAGAATTGCTTCTACTATCTGATAGACGATCTTTTTAGTTTGTTTACTTATTGTTTTTAAAGTTTTATTATTAATCTTTTGTTTAAGAAATATTGTCTAAAAACAATTGTTGCAATGCATTGTAAACAACGTGCCTAGCGATGGTGGACGCGCGTCACATTTCTTGAGACTTCAGGGTCACTTTCACTTTTTTAAATGAAACTGTATGATTTTTTTACACAGTATGATTTCTCTAATTATTCTGAGTATAAATGTATTAAGGTAATATAAAAAACTAATAGTTTTCGATATTTTATATCTTATTCTGGCATATATATATATATTGCATATATATATATATATTGAAATAAAATGTTAAATAACTCGTAAACTATTAATTTTTTGATAATATTACCGTAATACTTTTATGAACAGAATAATAAGATGAAACAATTGATGGAAGGAAAACACATAGTTTTCTTTAAAAAGATGTGCATGCAAAATACTTTGTGTAAGAAGTTTCTAATAAAATATTTTCGAAAAAAGTACTTATAACAAATTTTTTCATTTTTATGAGAAAATGATATATCACTCACTTCCAAATGATATATCTAAGTATTAGATTTCCAAATAACAATTTCTTAGTAATCAGTATAATCACGATACACAGTTTACTTCATAATATGGCGAAGGAGACCGCGGACACGATTTTATGTACAAACCTTGAGAGAAACTGTCTATCCGTCGAGACATATAGTACTTCTCACATGCATAGAGACTCAGTCGCTGAATGGATTGACAAACAAACGCAGATATCAGAGTCAAAAGTATTAATTGTGAAAGTGTTTCAAGTGTTTCAACATATTAATTACGTGTTCAGTGATCTGCAATAATATGTCACAAATAATTCACACATCTGATAAAAATAAGAAGCATAAACGTGCCACTATAAGTAATGTATTTTCAAGCACGCCAATCAAACCGTTTGCAATAAAGCCTGGCAGTATATCTTTATCTGAGATTGATACAGGTTCTTCTTCAAGTGGAGGTAAAATTACAAGAAATTTAAGGTCACTGATACGAGGTGAGGAAAAAATGATTATACATGTACTTATAATTATACTTTTGCAACTTTTCATATTATATATGAATTATTTTTCGATTGAAATAAAGTCGAACAATAAGTTAAAAATTCACCTTTTAATAATATTATAATAATAATAAATTGAATTAAAAGTATGTGAAAAAAAATTAAATATATCTATTTATCTACCTATTTTAATTACCTAACATCTATTATATAATATTATGTAATTAAAATTAAAGAAAATAAAAGTTTTTAGAAAGAGATATCTCCAATTTTTAAAAAATTAAAATAAATATGTATACATTCTAAAATATATATAAATATATATAAATACTTAAATTAATTTATTTTAGTTCTGGAAAATAAGCACAAAAAATATTCGAAAGAAAAAAGGAGATCAAACATAAAATGGAGAATAAAAGACTCTGACAGCGAATGGGAAGCCAAACCAATAGAATTCATCAATCAATCTTTAAATGGTTAACGTCAATTAAAGTTAGGAAAAGATATATTTAGAATCTTCTACAGAAATATTTTTATTTTCGAATTGTTGAATATTAAAAACATTTAACTGTATAAGATCCACACTATAAAACTAATGTATTCTTTATATAACAGAAAAACGAAAGAAAAACTTAAAAAACAAGAAAAAAACTGTCAAAAAAAAGCTAATAGTAACTCAAATAAAAAGCAAGGATAATGAATGGGAAACCGAATCGGAAAAATCAATTAATGAAGACTCAATATGTTCTTCATCTACCTTAAAGAACGAGCACATAAAATTATTTGAAGATCCGTGCAGTACACCGGAGAAAACTCGAGATGCGTCGACAATATATAAAGAAATTTTGCCGGAATCACCGATTTTAGGGTCCTTTAGAAAAAGATCAAATTTAATTTCAAAAAAGAATGACATAGTATTATCAGATGAACTGCTTCCGGTGAATTTGTTATCATCGGAAATACGAAATCCAGAGGAGCCAATCGAAGGTGAAACAATATTCGGTATTTTATGTAAAGTTCGGAAATAATTGTCGAAATTCTATTACAATTATTGATAACTATCAAATAACTCTTTTCAGGCTCTAATGGTTTAATTTTTATATAATAATATTTACATATCTCTTATATATATATTATTTTAATCATTACTGGTCAATTTCTTTTTTTATTGTATACCATTTATTATTTACATATATATCTATTTGAGCACATCTATCTACAAGATGGGCCATTTTAATGTTCTTACTTAATATTTTTTTTATGCCTTTCAGAAAAATGTTTCTGACCTAAAATGTATTATCTGAAGAACACTCATAATAATAACATCAGTTTTTAAAAATCGATTTTTCAAAGTTTCTTGGAAGCATCTCCATTTTGTTAAATAATAAATTATACTTATATATAATTTTTTACATAATATTGAACATTAAAATAAGGACATAAAAGTGACCCATTCTATAGCAATTAATGCTTTCAAAATATTTTTGCAATTAAATCTTTTTTAATGAAATATTCTTTCTGCTTAAAATGTATATAATATATAAAAAAATTGCTGTTTTAGATTATGAAGGCAATGAAAAAGCACACGTTTCGTTACAGAAGCTAGAAATAAACTCTAAACAAATATCTGAAAACATTAGCTTTCCCGACTTACAATTTGACACAATAAACTTTTGTCGGGATCAGCCTATCAAAACATATTCCAGGAATTCCAGGAAGACTTCCCCGCATTTCACATTATCTTTTGAATTATCACCAATCAAGCTTATGAGTTGGCTTAAGCCAAAACTTCCTAATGCTTCTAGGAAGACAGAAAGTACTTCGACTCCTCCAAAAATATGTGTTTCTCAATATCGGAATAAATATGATAAAAAATGGAAAACTTACAGAGGCAATTTTTCTGAAGAAGAACTTAAAAATGACAAACGCGAGATAAAGATTAGCAAAAGAAACATGAGAAACCAGAAGAGGAAGGTTACAGAAGCTTCCAAAAGAATGAAAACCAAAAGAGCCTTTCAATCCACATTGAAACAAAAATATGATATATATGATATATATAATGAAACAGACATCGAATTTGAAACTGGTGGTCGAGATGGTAAACGAATGTCTTTTCGTGAATTTTGTCAAACAAAAGATAATCGAAATCATAAAATGTCTCCCTCAGATAATATTAATAAAATATCTTCATCATCAGATAGTCTTTTCTAGGGAGGTTAAACGAAATCATTAGATTAGGTTAGATACCCCATTTTGTTTAATATTAAAAATTTGTATACATTTGATTTGTTTTGTAGATATTTATATTATATGTATATACTGTGTATATATTTTGTAAATGTATCTAATTGCAAATTTATATTTTTCAAGATCTATATCTTCACAAATTTAAATTTTCCAAAATGTCTACAATTATTTATATATATATTATGTATCAGCCAAACGTGTTAACATAATTTTCCTATGTAAATTTATATTAAATATATGTTGCACTGCAATCATTTTCTTTCCTTTTGTTATATTTTACAAGCTATTGCAGATATTCGATTGGCTAAATTGAAAGTATTTCAATACAGTATCTCACTCTCTATTTAATATAAAAAGTTTGTATACATTAGGTTATATGACCTCGCAAGAAAGGCATATAATATTTATAATATTAATATTTCTGATATTTTTCGATTTCGCTTCAGTAGATACGTTTTGTCTTTGCTGCTCAGTTTCCTGCTGCAAAATTAATATACATATATGTTACAAAAATGAAGACGAGTATCTATTCGCAATCTTCCAAAATATCTTATTAAAATTTTTATTAATTTTTGGTTCTTAGTACATAGGAAAAACTAATATTGCCATCTTTCAATTAGAAGCTCATTTTTAACATCATGATTCTCAGGTAAAAGAACTAATTAATAGAATTCCATGCATGTAAAATTATAAAGCCGGTAGTAAATATAATTGACATTTAATGAAATACGTGAAAAGATTAATTATTTTACTTTTTGTTTTTATTTTCTATTTAAGAAATAACAAAAAAAGACAACCGCATGTGTATATTTAAAATTAAAATTATTTCAAACCGTTTAAAGTAATGACGAATGAATGTTTTACTGTTTTTAAGTATCATATTACCGATTACATTGTACAAATTTGAATTATTTCGAATTTAAAATACACATAAGTTGAACATTTCATTATTACTCTTTATCGATAACTAATTATTAATTAATAATTTATTAAGAATTAATTTCTAATTATTTTGTTAGTATATCACAATATCGCCTATTAAATTTGAAACAAAAGTTAAAAGAATTTTTAACTTTCGTTGCTTTCATTTAAATATATCAAAAGTTAAATGCTAATTTATTTATTATTGTTTATGTTAATATGTTTAAAAATACTAATTAAAATTTTAAAGATCAATAAGATTATATTTTATAAAAATTAATATGCTCTAATACAAATTAAATTTAAACTAAATATATTAAAATTATACGTTTTTCATAAATTCCTAACTAATATTATTTATTATATAAAGATTATGTGTTTCGCGAGTTTCCTCCGTGTGCAGGAGGAAACCCGCGAAACGCATAATCTTTATATAGAAAGCACTCATGGAAGCCTCAAGAATATTATTATTTATTATATTATTTTACAAATCTTCCATAACTAGAATGTACACAGGAATGTACATTGTGCTGTTATTCATGTTATTCATAAATATGAAGGAACAATTACAAAGTTGCAAAGCTTCTGACGTAAAAGTTACCGATACATTTGAGAAGCAAAAATCTTGCCAAGAAGAATTAAATAATGTTATTTCCAAGATGCTCGATTTGAAACATAAATTTGAAGCGAAACTGGCAACAATAGAAAATGATATACATGGACTAAAGATTAATCTAATATCAAACATTGAAAATGAAAGAAAACTAAAGATAGAATTATTACATCTTTATAAGCAACAATTAGAAAGTAGTAATTTCAATAGAATTATGATATATGACTTACTTTGCTTAATGGGTAAGTAATGGTACAATAAATATTATATTAATTGTAATTTTATTTTAACACTTGTGTGCGATATGCGCACGGCACAAAATTATTTTAATAAATTATTTTATTGACAAACATTATACTTTGTTACCTTTGTAGGAATAGTTACCATTATTCGTTGGTACGTTGTACTTTTAGTAAACTTACTTTAAAAAATGCAAAGAGTAAAGAGAACAAGAGTTTTTTAAAGAAATAAAACCGGTAAAGTAAAGAAAAGGACAACAAAAATGGTTTAATTTATGTAAAACGTACATATATCTGAAGATTTTTAAATTAATATTCGTAAAATTAATATTTTTGCTTGCAAATATATAATAACCATGTCGTTGTTTTTATTTTTGGCAATAAAGATAAGATAGTTATAAAAATTTAGAAGAACTATAATCTTGAGACAAATATTTATTAGATAACATATGTATGAATCGATTTAAATCATCTTTTTAATGGAAAATAAATTTTACATTTTAAAATATATAATAAATTTTTAATAATATTTGTTATTATAGAATACTTCATTATTAATGAAACCTGCTTCATAAATGAATTCGGTATTAAGAAGTTATTATAAGAACATTCGTATATATACACTTCATTAGTAACTTTTTTCCTGAGTTATAACTAGTTTTCAAAATAATAATTTTTATAATAAACCGAGTTCAACTAGAATTTTACTAAGCTGATACGATCAATTGCAATATTTGTGAATAATTATTACATATCTGATTACACATATATTACATAATATATACATATAGATTTTATTCTTTTAGAATATATTTCCAAATATGTATATATGTTTCTTTACGACTTTTATTCGTACAGTCATTTTTATTAGTAAGACGGAGCATTTTTTAATTAGCAATCTTATCGTCAGAGATAAATATACTCGAGCGAATCTTACGATTTGGCCTACCATTTGTCAGTATTGCTTAACGAGTAAATAATGCAAATTGCATTATTGACGTTTGGGAATTTGTACGAAACTATATTTAATTATTTTAACCCGGGAAAAAATCGTACGTTATGTTTGCTTCTTTTTCTTTTTCTTTATCTCTGCTTTCTGTTGTCTTAGCTTTCTCTTCTCTTCTGGACGTTGTTCTTGTTTTTTCGTGCGCCCATATAATCTGCGTGCAATAATAACTGTGTGAAAACAAAATTATTATTAAATAATAATAATTATTATTAATAAATACTAATCTTATAATAGGTATTATTATTATTACAAATTATAAGATGATATAAGATAATAATAAAAATGCCATCCGATAAAATGGTTATTATAAAAACATATAAATTTAACAAAAAGCTCGTGTAATTTGCTAAACAATAAAATAAATAATTTTATTCATTTATTATTGGTTATTATAAAAAAATTCTCAATTGTTTGAAGACGGAATATATACAATGTAATAGTGTTATTTCATGTATAATTATATATAATTATATAAAAAATTGACATATTTTATATATCATTATACATATATAATTATATATCAAAAATGTCCATATATATAACATTTTTTCTTGGGAATAAAAGAATGTACATTCTAAATTTCCAATTTAAAGCTATATTTACTAGTTATTTAAGATAAAATAACATTGTTAATTCTTAATCATAAAATCAACATCAAAAAGATCATTTATTCAGTGTGAAATGTAAAAAATGGTATAATTTCTGTCGACCTGTATTTGCACTCCCATGTGATAAATATTGAATTAATAATGATAAATCGAATGTCTTTGATAGATCGTCTTTATAGTTGGTTAACGCTTATAATCTTTAGTCTGACAATTTCTGTCTTGCCGAACCAATAAAGACTAAAATATCGTTTATTGCACTTGGAAATTATCGAGGCAATAATAAGTACTTCTATTTCGCCGAGTGTACACAAATGCAGTTTTCGAAGTCGCTTCGTTGAAGGAACTATCTCAGCGTATTTCGAAACATTCCTTATCTAATCGAGTCCACTCGATTGCTGAGTTTGATTGTACATATTCAATCAGTGTAATTTTTATCCCGCACTTGTGCAGACCTCTGCTACTCTTATTTCCAAATTAAATTCTCTGTACTCGTTATATTCCATATGGAAAAACAGTTCGTGAATCTATTTGAAAATGACAGTACGATTCCGGATGAAGTACAAGAAAAATTTGCAAAGGTGATCGAAAGATATCAACAATTGAACGATGAAGAAAAGGAGGAGTTCCAAAAGGGTGCTTTTGATATATTAACAAGGAATCTGCAAAAGTCGAAGAACATGATTTCGCATACGTGGCTTGCATCGTATCAATCTTTCTTTCTATTCATTTTCGCTGTATCGATTGTGACATTTCTGCTCGGTACATGTATATTTCTTTCTTTTTATTGCAAATTTGCATATTTATATTAGATATAATTACACTATTGTATTATGTGTATATTTCGTCTTCAAACAATTAAGAATTTTTTCATAATAACCAATAATAAATGATAAAATTATTTATTTTATTGTTTAGCAATTATACTTTTGTTAAATTCAGCTTGTTGTTAAATGTTTTTATAATAACCATTTTATCAGATGGCATTTTTACTATAACTTAGATAATTTAATAATTATTATCTTATATCATCTTATAATTTAATAATAATACCTATTATAAGATTAGTATTTATTAATAATAATAATAATTATTATTATTTAGTAATAATTTTGTTTTTGCAGTTATTATTGCGCGTAGATTATATGGGCGCACGAAAGAACGAGAACAACGTCAAGAAGAGAAGAAAAAGCTAAGACAACAGAAAGCAGAGATAAAGAAAAAGAAAAAGAAGCAAACATAACGTATGATTATTTATGTTCAATAACGTTTTAATAGAAAAATTTCATTGACGAATAGGCGGTTTCTTATAATAAATTTGAAACATAAGTTTTACAATTTGGAAACTTTTTTTTGGCAGATTAATTTTTAATTTAAAAAAACAAAGCATAATAAGAATTGGCATGAAGAAATATTTATTGAGCCATTTCGTTAACTTAACACTTGTAAGAAGATATACACAACAAAATTAATATAAATCGACATATACATTTTTGTTCTCAAAATGTCAACATATTTTTTAATTGTTAAATTGTAACAGAAAAAAATAAACTGTATTACTAAATAACATACATTCATTCTTATTTATAATTACGGTATATATCGAACTCTTCGTAATTGATATCACACTATAAAATCGCAGTTCCCAGTTACAAGTACAATTTTTCATGATAAAAATTATATTTGTTAGATAATCAATGATTAGTTAATATACTTTTCGTCACATTATAAAATGTGTTATTATTACATATCCTTCATATGAAAACGCACAACCATATAAACTATATATTTCTTAATAAAATCTTAATGTATTATTTAACAGGCGCTAGCTATCATATAACAAGCTGCATTGATGTTTGTATAAAATTAGTATTGTACTATATAAGGAATCTATATACAATTGTAACTTTTTATGAAATTTTCAAAATTTCAGAATCTCAAAAATATTAATATAAAAATCCCATTTCTTTCCATATATTCCGTACTTCCCGTAACGTAATATCTGTATTAATAAAATGAGAATATATCTTTTTCGTTTATTATGTCTTTCTTATTTCAATTTACAGTTTACTATATCTATCTTATTTCAAGTACTTGAAATAATTACATCTATATTGGCACATTATTAATAAAGACATAAAAATTATTTTTTAAAAACTTGAACTAGTATAAATCTTGTAATAGTAATTCTATTAATTGTTTTACAATAATAACGTCATTTTATTTTTCTTAACAATATTAACATGTTAAAAGTTTATAAAAGCAAAAAAGAATCTATACATATTTTAAACAGAAATTGTTAAGTCAACAAAAAAACAGTAACAATTATATACAAAATTAAAATTTTCTACTTATTTTTAGCGTGGCACATATATCGAAAACCGATCGTTTTCATAAATTGTACTAAAAACGATGTATAAATCTTATTTTTCTTTACGTAATCTCTTATCTTTCCATTTCTTATTCTGATTTTTACCGAGTACAATAATATATATATATATTATACCACATTAAATACTTTTTAAAATTCGCCGTTAATAATGTTATAAAATGATAATCGGAATTTTACATGTTAGTTTGCATTCCAAAAACATATGCTTTTATATAACTACTTTATAAAAAACTCAAGATATTCATAATTTCATAATATTTAAATATTTAAATGACACAAAAAAAGACTACGTTGTTTGGGAAACGCCCTTCAGCTTTTTAGTTCTTAGTACCCATAGCAGAGAGGAGGAGAAGGATGATTGTTTCTCTTCTCGCTATAATATATCTTAAGTTTTACGCGCGATCTAGTCATTTTCTATCATATATATCTCAGAAGATATTAATTAATTAATTAATGTTCTATAGGAAACATTAATTGATTAATAAAGTGACTTTATCTGTTTAAATTTTCGGGATTGGGTTATTAGTTCAATCTCCCTGGATCTCTCCAGAGATCTATTTCGTGCAGATTACAAATTTAAAATCCGTATGTAGAATGAAGGATCAAATCAAAGATCACTTAGTTTGCTCCCATACGAAGCTACGCAATCCATTGTTATCGTGCAAATGTATATAAAAATCTTATATATATCTGTCGCCGTTACTAAAATAATATAAAAGCTCGTAAATGACTCGTAAATGCTCTACAATAATGGATGGAATAATATTAGATTCTATTGTTTATATATAAACTATATTCTCTTCTAAATAAATCGCAAAATTGATTATCTGGTTATCTTACATTCTTCCTAACGGATATAATTCCAAATAAGAGTTGTCTAAAATTGAGTATTTTAACTCAGCATAAATTCGATTTGTATACGTTTGCATACATACGAAGGCCGGGTATTTAGAAAGTTTGAGTGCTATGTATACATGCAACTTATATATATATATAACATATGACTATATGAGTATGTTTCAACAGTTGAGTTGTAGATGTAGTATGATATGGCAAATAGATATAATTACTCAGAAAAATATATATAATTATATATAATTATATCAAATATTATATAAAAAATTGACATATTTTATATACAATTATATACATAAAATATGTATATATATATATAACGTTTTTTCCTGAGTAATATTATGTATAAAACTATAATACCGCAAATCTTTTGTAAATGTTTATATATTTTATCGATTTTTCTGCTTCTTCTTTCTCTTTTCTTCTTTAATTATGTTCTGCATATTTATTTATAAAAAATAATAATTAAAAAGAGAATTTACAAAAATTATTTAAATGATCTTTGATTTTATTAATAATTTATAACGCTCGCTAGCCGGATCTGGAAAAAATATATATTGGCATTATTAGTCTTTCCAAAAAATCACCTTTTTCAAAATCATAAATAAAATTATAATAAAATAAAATTTACCTTTGATAGTCTCAACGAGATACATACTCTCGTCTTTCATGTTTGCTACTAGCTCGTCAGTGACCAACACGTGTATACCCTGTGGTCCTAGGAACAGTATTGAGTGAAGTCGGTCATGAGGTAAGTTTAGAGCATTGAGCAACTTGTTTGTGAGAGCGGTGCTCGTTAAACTATCGAGGTAGGCGACTCTCCAGAGTGAGCCATTGCTTTCCAACGAGAAATAGAGAGTAAGCTTCGGGGTCGGAGCCTTAGAATGCAACGTGTTGAACAGTCGAATGCCATCTGCCACGCCGCAGATCTGGATTAGATCCTCTCGGGACAAGCGTAAAATATCCGATGCAGAGAAACTTGCAAATGTTGACTCGAACGCGTTGAATCGGCTGGCGCGAAGCCAGGCGGTTGTCTGCGTGGCATTTGCGTCGGGTGGTAATTCGGTGAGACATGGGGCACCCTGGCGAGATTTCATATAAAGTTATCATAAAAAGCAAAGTGGATTGGACAGCTCCAAATTTTATGCAATCAGCCTTTTATATAATTGTTAACTTTATATTCATAATTTTTAGAGAAAACGTTTTTTTTTTCAAAAAATATACTTCTAGTAGCATGTAATTTATTTCCGTATCTTACATCAAACTATATTTTTGAAAATAGCGTTTTCTCTAAGAATCATGAATATAAAGTTAATAATTAGGATGACTATATCAAATTTTGAGCTACCCAATTCACATCGCTTTTATTATGCGTATGTAACAAAAAATATTTTCTTTTTTATCTATTCTTTATTTTAAAATATTGAACCAAAAAATTCAATATCGAAAAATTAATTAATTTTCTATAATAAGGATCTTTACTGTTTTTATAAACTCGATTAGTTGTTGCGGGGAAGTAGCTTTGTGTGCTGTCAAACTAACATCAGCTTCAATGCAAGGTGGATCTGGCAATATGGCTGCGGGCGATGGCAAGGCCGGCGCCGTTCCCACGTTTTCCTTCACGGCGTCTGAAGCCGGAACCAATGGTACGATACCAGAATTAGAAACCGAAAGTGCTAATGGGGCGACTACCGGAGAGGAATTGCCGCCGATAGTCGTGCGTGTTTGTGGTGATCTAAAAAACATCAAAGCCAATAGCATATTAATTACTTGTTAAAGTTTCTCTTAAAAATTAGAAAATGCAATTACAAAAATGCATTTTATAAAAATTTTTAGCAGACATTTTACATATGTTAAATTGTTGCATCTATCACTTGCAATAACAATATTATAAGGTTGTAATTATTTCCTTTCGGAATGTCGCGATGATTTTCTTGCTATATTTTTCCGATATACATAACATGAAAACGTACTTCAGATATACGCATATTCGTATTCGTTGAGTCATAAAACGTCAGCTGTCTTATTAATTGTGCATGCAACATAAATCAAGAACTGTTGACACTTATACGTTCAGCTGAACAATTTTACGTACATGAAAAAACGATACATGGGAATATTCCAGATAGACGTTTCTCGATAAAAATCAATATCGAAATAACTTTTCTTATGATAATAAATTTAAATAAAAATTTAAAAGTCGTAGTAAAAATAATACTCACATGTATGTCCAAAATGAGTTAACTTATTTGTTTGAATTTCCAATTGATATAAATTTTCTCATAAAACAAGAAAATTAATTTCATGCAATTGATTTTTTATAATTTCAAATTCACACGTGTCAAATATTACAATTATAATTGTATGAAATAGGCATACATTGGTGTACTGTAATACATAATTTATTAAATTATATATTTGAAGCCTCAAATTTTATTAGTTAAATGCGAACGTTATATAAACACAATTTTAATATTATTTATTAATTAAATAATGATGTAAAAATATAAAGTAACTTAAACGTTACAAAACACTTCTTGTGTTTTGCAAACCGTGGCATTGAATTCAAAGTAAGATTCAATTGGCATATGTGATATTCAAGAAGTCATCGATACTTTTTATTATAAGACTTTCTGCGCAAGAACACGTTAGTATTGAATAGTAGGTATTGAATAGTAAACTGAAGCCTGTACATAAAAGTAAGCTTACATCATGCACGTTACGTTATGATTTTGTTTGTGCGTTGATATAAGTTTACTGTTATATACAGGCTTCAGTTTACGACTAATATTTAACGTAATGTAACGCGCAGATATTTTTATGCGGACAGCCTTATATTGTTAAAGTCATAATGTCAAATTATTTGAATTATTCTGATCATTTTTTTATAGATCGCTACTACTTCTACTAATAAGTTATTATTTAAATTAAAACAATTTAATTCAAATTTAATTAAAGATAACAAAATGTTATTTAACTCAAAGAATTGAGATATCATAGCTCCTTTAATGTGTATCCGCTAAGAACCTTTATTTTTT